TGTTTATACATCTTCTCTTCACTACTATATCTATAATGAATCTGAATGTTCACGTGGCAGATATTCACGTTGAAGTTGATAGTAATATGCAACATTGGTGGACTTGGTCTCTTGATTCTTCTCGTGAATCTTTTGGTTCCAAAACCACATCGTGTTTCAACCGTTGGATGGGTTTGTGCTGCTTACAGTCTCGCCGTCTTTGCTTCTCCCTTAAGTGTCATGGTGATCCATCATCAGCTTCTCTTCTTCTTCAAACATCGTGCCGTTATTATTCTGATGAAACGACGTGTAATGTTGTTGTTAATTAAATGTTGCAGAGGAAGGTTATAAAGACAAAGAGTGTAGAATACATGCCGTTTTTGCTCTCCTTATCTCTCACTCTTAACGCCGTCATGTGGTTCTTTTATGGACTTCTTATCAAGGACAAGTTTATCGCGGTATAATAATGAAATATTATTTACATAAAATCTTTCTTCATTTTATTAAACTTTTACTAATTAAAATCTCTAATGTTTTGTTTTCAGATGCCAAACATTCTCGGTTTTATGTTCGGTATAGCTCAGATGATACTATACATGATGTATCAAGATTCGAAGAAAACGGATTTGCCAAATGTTGCATCTATCGAGAACGAACCAACAAGTAAAACCGAAGTCCCGATCGTGGCTATTGAATTGCCTGATGCTAGATCAAACTATGTTGAAGGACCGGTGAGAACCACGACGATTCCAAATTCAAGCACGGCTTGAAGGGGGCAAAACATGGCCAAAATGTGTGGGAGACATTTTATAACGTATGTTGAATAATGATCTTTAAGTTGTATGCTTTATCGGTTTAGTGTTGCTCTAACAAAACCGATGTTTTAGTGTTTTGATCATATAATTAACCAAAGCCTTGATAAATGAGAATCTAGGTCCAAACAATGTTTAGTTTATGATGATGACGACTAAGCTAATCTCTATATGCAGAGCCGGCCCTGGCCTTTTAAGGGCCGAAACTTTTTTTTTTTGCCCTTTAACATAAAAAAAAAACACTTGGTAGATTCAAACCCGTGACATTATCACCTACTTGGAGTGCGGCTTGACCAGCAGAGCTACTGAAGAATTTGTCAAAATAGTTGGCCCCTAAAATTAATAAAGACTATGCTGGCCCTAAGCACATGCTTCGCTAGCTTCTAGTCAGGGCCGGCTCTGTCTGACGTAGCGGAAGCTAGATAGATGCAAGGATCTTATTTAGTCTGAGAATACCTAAGATCAATGCCTTCCTGGATTCGTTGAGATCTCCCTGGATCTACCGAAAACAAGGGTTCGAGAATACTCTTCTCTGAAAATCACAAAGCTCTATAATTTTATTAATCAATCAACTGAATACAAAAGGAGGCCTCTAGGGCTTATTTATAAGAAATTCTAAAAATTTTAAAAAAGTTCTGGAATATTTTAGAAACTC